TCGACCCATACCATCAGGGCACGGTGACCCGCCTCCATCCCTGACCTCCTTGAGCCTGATGAAGAATCTAGTCAGCGTGATGTCCAATTAGCTGAATTGTTCGGTAATTGTTCACAAATACCATCTAATCACTGTGGTAATAGCGGCATACTTAAATAACATCACAGATAATCGGTGACGAGTTCTCGGTGGTTGCATATATCTATATATCACACAGAACACAGATTCATGGTCCAGCATGGAGAGTCTTGGAGAAACTGCCATTCATTATAAACTCAGTAAACAACTACAGATACCATCGTAATGATTGAATATTGTATTACGCTGCTGGTAGCTATGTTCAAGCGATATTAACATTGGAGAATGGACCTTTGTACCCATGATGGAATCGAACCCGACTCTTTACCGGGACGAGCGAATGCATTATCCACTACACTACCCAACCGAAGGACGATCATCGTAGATATACCAGCAGTATGATACCACTTCCCTAACACCTCCTTAATCCACAAAATTGTTAATCTGAACGATCTTCCAGAATCATTCAGGTTGTTATGACATCAGGTTGGTATGACATTCATTGTACAATCACACTCCGAACAGTGATGAATCCCCGTCAATACGTATGGTAGATTCCCTGTGAAATCGTCCTGATTACAAAATTACCGTATTGAAACGGTTTGACTATATTATAAGCGTGTTATACAGTATCAACACAAGATCAATATCAATTCCCTGAAATGAAAATATTAATTAAAACACAATTGTAATGATATGTATTCTAAGATGTTTCGCTAAAAGATCAAAGGCACCGACAGTACTTTATCAGGCGATAATGTACACTCTTTGCATGACGTCACGCTGCATTGACGTCACTACGCCATTCTCGTCAGCCCCCTCGTTATCAAACGTCGTTTTTCTATTTGTTTTCTGCCTTAGATTTATCAGTACGTATTAAATTTAAATTATTGGTAAGTATTAAATTTGGCATCTTAGAAAAGAAATACAGTTCGTTCTTCCCCCATGTATAGTGTAATAAAGTACACTTTTGCCCTGAACTATTATAGTTAAAGTACGAGGACGCAGCTCAGTGCTGCTTGACATTTTCAACTGCTGTGATCTAGACTTGCCAATTGTTACAGACTTGTATATCCACAGTTCTGTACTGGATATATGTTATATCAACACGATAACCCCATAATCCCCACAGTGACAGACATGTATATCCACAGTTCTGTACTGGATATATGTTATATCAACACGATAACCCCATAAACCCCACAGTCATAGACATGTATATCCACAGTTCTGTACTGGATATATGTTATATCAACACGATAACCCCATAAACCCCACAGTCATAGACATGTATATCCACAGTTCTGTACTGGATATATGTTATATCAACACGATAACCCCTAATCCCCAACGCACCAATTCACCGCTAGTGTGACTATGAAACAAACTATGAAAGCCCTGCTTTATTTGTACACCTGATATACATATACAGTTGAGCGACGGACCTTCATTACATTTGTCCATGTATTCATATCACAGCAGCACGGAATTAAGCCAGCTGAGCACATGTCACTGTTGACAGCAATAGACAGCGAGCACAGTGATATAGACACATTTTACAACCGACATATTCGTGGTGTATCAGCCCAGCCCTAATGAGTCACTTGTTTCTCTGTGTTTACTGACTAATACAGGTACCTGTGGTTCAAGGCCTTTCTATGGCAGTGAGATTAAGCAGGGGATGAAAAAAGACATTTCACTGTAATGTGTCAGTGTATTGTGACTGCATTCGTAACAACTGAGTTGTCAATCAACTTAGAAGCTTTGTGTAATTTAAACTACCACAGACTATCATTACTGCTATCATATTTTTTTTATTTATGGATAAACATACATCCAAAATTATATTTTACACTGTGACCTAACTTCACAATTTTCTACGTAAGGTACATTATAGGCATCGTGCCATGGCACTATATCACCTTATACCACCAGCTCATGCACTAGGGAACCTATCACATAACATAGCATCATGGACACTAACAATGCAGCGAAGGCATTGTGCAATATTGCGATATATGTTATGGTTTCAAGATGTCAATGATATATGTTATATCTTCATGAATAGATTATCCCTAGCACACGAAGCATCAGTTTGGTGCATTTACTGAAAATAGTGAAAACCCGTTAATTTAGATCATGTGAGATGTGAATCTCTCCGAGACAGTAGACAACGTTTACGTATACTACAAACAAAAAGTATGGGAACACCCTAAACTTTGATAGTCATATAGACTTAAACGTGGTTGGGTCATTTATACACATGCACTAGGCTGTTGTGTTTGGGCGTTTGAATCTAACTTGGTGCTGGTTCGTTTCAGGACCCTTGTTTTTGGCTGTTTTTGGCAATGTTTCATTTCACCCAAACTCAATGAATATTGAACCAGTTGCTTCACTGCATGTTCCAACATGTCGTTTAAAGTGCTCATTAAGCACAAAAAGTTGCATTAACCTTGGAGTATAAATGACCTCACCACGTTTAAGTTTATATATGACTATCAAATTTAGGGTGGTCCCATACTTTTTGTTTGTAGTATATGTACATTAATCCTTAGCAAATACCAGTTACTTGCTAATCCCCGAAATAACTGTCCGGTTTCAAAGACAAAGGTCTAATTACAGGTATATCAACCTACTGCTTTCGGTAAGACGATAAGACTGACTGACTGACTGAGTTTGGTTTTACGCCGCTTTAGCCATTATTCCAGCAACATCAGAAATTGGCTTCACACATTGTGCCCATTTGGGGATTCGAACCCGGGTCTTCGGCGTGACGAGCCAACGCTTTAACCATTAGGCTACCCCACCGCCCCCCTAAGACGATAAGAGTCATTAGAAGCAGTCGAATTGCATACCAGTAAAGACAATGAAGAATCTTGTAAACCCATCACACAGGTTGTTTGGGTTGTTTTGTGTGTTGTTTATCGAAGTATTCGGAAATATTTCAGCTCTATGAAGACGGTCTAGACAATGCAATGATTGACATCAAGAGGTCTGCGCAATTGGGTTACAATGACGTCCATCCTGAAGACAACGGGCCTGACCACCCGAACCCGTTAGTGGGCACTTACGACAAGCTCTGGTTGTTGAAGGTCAATTGTAGCCCGGGTGTTCACTGGGATGGTGAGGAGGGGTGGGATATTGACAACTACGTCATGCAATGCATGACAGGCCTGTATGCAGCGTGTGCATTGTACAACCATTATGTCAATATAATGTGCATGAATTGCGTCAATACCAGGGGCCAAGCAGAGATGAAACAAGCATGGTATAATTGTTATAGTGTATGGATAACAGAAGCTGATCCAAGTAATGGAACACACTGCTGATATCCCGCCTGCAGTGTGTTCGGTAACAATGTCACAGTAAACTCATTAACCGTATTTGACGGTGACTCACATTTAACGTAAGTAGTCGAGAGATTGTCTAATCATTGACCATATTGTACACTGCCAAATGTTCCTTCATATGCAACTATTCGAATATCTGACGTAAAATCATATTCACTCGTTTATCAATAGCATGAAATGCGTTCCGCGGTACTATATCCACTCGATAAATTTGTAATTCAGGTGTTAGTAAGTGACTTTGGTTTCACGCCGCTCTTAGCAATATTCCAGCAAGATTACGGTGGGGGACACCAGAAATGGGCTTCACACGTTGTACCCAGGTGGGGAATCGAACCCGGGTCTTCGGCGTGACGAGCGAACGCCTTATCCACTTGGCTACCCCACGTCCCCTCTTAATTCAAGATGAAAATAAGTAATACTATTAAAATTGTCTTGAAAATAGATTTTGAAACACAACACAACCTGTTCGATCTAAGTGTATATATGTACCTTTATAATTCGTATGTACCTCAAGAAATATATATACCATTGGGACTATTATTACACCTGACGAGATTTTATAAACACAATAAATATATACCATTTATATGCTCATGGATGTAAACAGATGTAAGCTGAGATCAAATCTACTAATCATATATTGATTCACAAAGATTTCTGGTTGTTGGGCAACAGCGTTATCTGCCAATCTCGCTTGTTTTACATACGTACTTCTTCGTAGCCTTATAGCATATATCCTTCCAAAGCTTGTCGATTTCACGTAGTTCCAAGTTTGATTTATAGATTACAAGAAATCTGTCAGGTTTTAAAGTGGTCACTTGTCCGGCGATCTTAGTTCCAAGTGAACGGTGAATGTTTGACAACAACATCAGTTGTAAGCCTGGCGGTGGCTTTGATCACCTGTCATTTATAGGTAACACTGTAGATTTCAATCAATCAACTGTCACTTGTGTAAACATGGCGACAACATGCATGGACAACAATGTTATGTATGGAGAGAGAACTCACACGAATAAATAATGCAAACAACTGCAGGCAGTGTTCAGAGAATAGGTCTATGCAGGCCCCGTACTGTGAGCTATCGGTGACACGTGTTGAAGTGCTTTAAGCAGCTATTTTTCAAGCGCCGCCGCGTAACAATTCAGTTTTTACACACATACGTACGGCGAGTTCGAGAGCTAGCTTGCTATATACTATAAGTGGGACACTTTGACACGGTAGACATCAGTGATAAATAGCGTAGGGCTAACACCGTTGCGATCAATGGTTATCGTTTAATATATTTGGTCTTCCATGCTTACTCGTCAAGTTTAATGTCCCATAACAGATTCAAAACGAGATTGAAGATTTTGTATATGCCTGTTTATCTGTGAGGGTTTCGTCTTTGAGGGTCGTACTTGGCTAGCTGATCTATGCAATATATATACATAGACCGAACTGCAAATCTATTATTATCATAATTCTTCTTATTATAGTTATTACATATTCTTATACATTTTCATATTATCATTATGGGCAAAAGTATAAAAGGCTGCCTGCTATCACCATTGCCATCATCATCATCATGCTTACCTTGACTTGTTCTTCATCTAATCCCACTTCAGCAGCGATTAACGTCACATCCAAGTCAGAGGGATTCCTGTTCTGACGGAAATTTGCCTCTAGTTTTTTATGTTGTTCACTTCCTATCTTCGGCAGCAGGTGTGACGGGGAGAGGTGGGCTTGTATTCCGGCCATGTCGCTGTACATCACGTTGGTGGTCATCACAGCTGGTCAGTCACTGACAACGCTGGACGCCGTCCCCTTCCGTCGGCACTGACAACACGCCGAGGAATGACCAAATCAGCTGGTCGTGGAAACAACACTGAGCGAATTGCGTTAACCGTTGCAGCAAGCAAGGTGTATTCAATAGCAGTGAGACCCGGTAGCGAAGTAAAGCAACGAGTGCTGTCAGTCGTTCGTCCTCTCTGCCGGCTCGTTTCTGGTCTACCTCGCCACTGTGGTGATTGTATATATAAATAAGCCGGCAGTCAGTCAGCCGGTCGCTCGTGATACGATAACGTAAAGACCCCTGTATCACAAACGTTGTCAAAGGCTCCCTGTCAGCGCGGAAACTGTGTCGGACTCGCTGTTAGACCCTGTGACGTCTTTTGTTGATATCAGGAGCGTCGCCGAATCTTCTAGGCAATAAATATTGATTAGATATTGATTCAAATTAGACCCAATCGGCGCGCCCTGTACTCCAACACGTGACTATTATCGATTGAATATACGTCATGTGGGATATAAATAGTAACAAAGCTATTGTGTGCGGTATGCGGCGAATACCAATAGCGTGAACGCACGTGGGGTGACTTTTAAATCTACTGAAAAAACTCGGAAGCAAATTGAGACAAAGAAAGTGTCACGTCATATTTTGTGTAAAATACCCTTTTAACTTACTTCCTTCAATAGAAACACAGCCATTTATCAGTTAAATTAATGAGAGGGAATATTGCTTAACGCAGCATTTGCAATTTCGCAGCTACTCGCAACATTTCATTTATGAAATACAGTAGTATATATCGTATCTATCAAGATAAACTGTTGTTTGTATTACATTGTATCATATAACTGTAGTGATAAATTCACTACGGAACATATGAAGATTGTGAGGACGAATTTGCATGATGCTCGACAGAAGCAGGTGGGCGTTAGTTGCTTCTATTGTGATACTGCCTGTGTACAGAGGTGTGTGGATAAATCAGGGGTAAATATAGATGTGTGTTACGTGGACTCATCCTGATCCCCCGCGACATTCCTTCCAGCCTTGATTCTAGTCCGCGGCTATACTGTACACTCAACTATGTATATTCATATACACACCTGTATAACGAGTCAGTCTTTTCGTATATAAGGAACTCTCTTAATTGTAGCCGTACACATATCTACAATGAAACTGTTCTCACGTTGGTTGGTTGTTTTACGGCGCACTCAGTATATTCCAGCTATATGGAGGCCGTCTGTAGATAATCGAGTCTGGACCAGACAATCCAGTGATCAACATCATGAGCATCGATCTACGCATTTGGTATACGATGACATGTGTCAACCAAGTCAACGAACCTGACCATCTGATCCTGTTAGTCTCACGTTGGTAACGACCCGAGATATGACTGGTACCCGCAGAAAGTGACAAGTCTCTCCACATACCCGCAATATTGGGTCGCATGATATGCCAAGCCGGAGAGGAAGCTGTTAGAAGGATGGTAAAATAACTACACCTGCAAAATGTGGCACACCTGCAGAGCGTGTCATTAGATAATCTATTCCAGTTCCTGCATTTCAATGTGTCAGAACATTTACACAGGATGTCAGTGTTAAGAAATTGCTGGTGTATCTAGATACACAGAGCACAGGGCTTAATTTCTTGTCCAGTTTGTGTGAGTAAATTCACATTTCAGTAGCATATTGATCACTTGCATGTCCGCTTCCCCCATCAGAGTGCTTGCCGTGAAACATCTTTAATCCGTCCAATGAGAAACACACGTCGGGATGAACGAACTAATGTCACAAGTGAGTGAGTGAGTTTAGTTTTCGCCGCACTCAGCAATATTCCAGCTATATGGCGGCGGGTAATGTCACGAAGTTATGACTTGTTATGTACGTAGACGTAGGGCGGTCCCTTTTCTCGAGCACCTGGTGTCATGTCTGATTTTCAGTGGTCTATTCATACAATTTTCGCAGCTACTTCACCCTCTACACCAGATAGAATCTGTCTCGGAGAATATTGAAAACAGGGTATTCTTTTTCACCTACGTTGTATATATATTGAAACTGTGTCCTGATACGTAGGGTTCCGGACAAAAGAGATTTCACTGTAGACGTATAATTACGTTTCCATGACGATAGCACCCTTGTGTTGTAGTCGTGTTAATAGCTCAAGTATACTTTAACCTTACCTTTTTGCATAAACTCAATCAAACTGTTACCACTGGCTATCCGTGTGTACACTACCTCAAGCACACAATTCTAAATTTAAAAGATATATGCCGTTACACATACGGATACACCCATACGTATACACACACTCACACTCTCTCTCTCTCTCTCTCTCTCTCTCTCTCTCTCTCTCTCTCTCTCTCTCTCTCTCTCTCTCTCTCTCTCCCCGTGTCCACCGTGATGTCAGCGTGATGTCCACCGTGATGTCAGCGTGATGTCCACCGCTATGATATTGATAAAGGCTGCATAACACCACATACACAGAGGTTTGGTACTTTGGTTGACCTAATTGACTTTATTCGGCCATAGTTTCCTGGTGCGTCTAAGCCAGCTGGGTTAGGACAAGTGGATTCTGTTTGACCATAAACGGTTGACAGTCAGCTCGTTGGAAACGACAACTGACCGCATTATAGAAAAAGCGTTAAAAGACTTGTTTTTTTCTTGTCTGGCGCTTGACATCAAATGAATAAAACAAGGACTGGTAGAGACAACATAAATGTCACAAAACACTAGTTTAACAACCGATAATCTCAAAAAATAATTACATAGTTAATTAAAACAAACAGCCTTCACTAAACATCCGAAAAACACAAATTGATTAAGAAAGTCCCTTAAAAGGAACTCTTTACAGTGAGTGAGTGAGTATGGTTATACGCCGCTTTTAGCAATATTCCAGCAATATCAGAAATAGGCTTCACATCTTGTACCCATGTAGGGAATCGAACCCGGGCATTCGGCGTGACGTGCGAACGCTTTAACCGCTGGGCTACCACCGCCCCTCTTTATAGAATTTGTATAGTGTGACATAATTATTTTCAATGAGGTGTGTAGTTCAAGGCAGCATCGGTGATAAACTTAGCATGTTGTATAACAGAACTAATGCATATTAACTGACCCCTCTTATCTATTCAAACAAACAACCGCGCAGACAGGTCTCTTTGGTGTAATCCTCTCTGTCGCTTGTAAAAAGACCATTTCTCCAGCACTAAAACTTAAACACAAACTGTCATCATTTACAGTATCTAACACCTTTTTGTAATAACCTCCAGCAGTTCAGCCTTGGCATCTGTAATAATCTTCAGGACATTATAATGGTCGTGTTTATAACAGCCTGCGTGTCGTGCGTGCAGTAATCAGCTATTACTGTTGTTATATAAGGCGATATTAACCTTTGATCTTCAGGTACAGGCGATAAGAGAAAGGCTCTAACTCCGGTGATTAGAGCATTAGGTAGGGGATAAGTTGTGCTCTTACGCTCCCTTATGGGCCAAAGGTCACGGAGATGTAATCAGGGGATAATGATTTCGGCAAACGTGTGGAAGACACGGCAGACCCAAGTCTCAGTATAGATATAATGTGTTAAGATATGAGTGGCTTCAGTTAAACGTGGGACCGCCTCCGTGGTGTAGTGGTTAGAGCGTCCACCCGGAGAGCTAAAGGTCGCGGGTTCGATCCCCGGCCGCGTCATACCAAAAGACGTTAAAATATGGTACTTGTTGGTACCTGCCTGGCGCTCGGCATTAATGGGTACAACAAGGACTGGTCGGCTCGGAGTCAGTATAATGTGTCTGAGTGGGGTATTCATGCTTCACTGCAGCATGATATCTCAGTGAGCTAGCACTATAAAACCAACTTCAGTCTGGGCTAGTACAAGCAGCCGTACATACACATACACACGCATGCACGTCGTCATATGAGCGAAATATTCTCAAGTACAACGTTAAACCCAATTTCACCTCACCTCAGTTAAACGTCGCGATGGTATTGCAGTTAATTCGTCACCGGCAGCGAAGTAAGCGGGTTCAGACTGGAGCTTTTTCAATATGGAGCTAGGTTACCTGTAGTCTAGATATTACATTTCTTGTACAAAAGCTCCGAAAATATTAGTGTGGTTTTGTATTTAAAAAACCCCATTGCAGTAATGACAATCTGTAGTTAATAACCAGTAGTTATACATATAATCATACATGTATCAATACTTTTCTATAAATATTAGCTTGGGCGACTGTATAATCAGAAGTACTTCTAACGATTCAGAATCCAACAAAACCGACTTCTAATTTGAAAACAATATTTGTCTCATGAACTGATGAAGGAGTAAGAATATACTCCGAAACGTCATGTGTTCCCCATTCTACAGAAGTTGATATCCGTGAATTCCCCTGTCTGCCAAAGAAAGGCCCTTAATGGCGAGGGCGGAGGAGTTGTTGGTCGCACATTAACACTACGTGGTGACAGTCCATGAAGCATAATCGGTGACAAGACAAGTACATCAAGTAGCAGTAGCTTATATAATTACACCACAGGTACCCACAGTAGTCGCAGTCTGTTTCGCATTATTTTCAACCAGTGAAGATCCGGGTTACAATTGATCTTCAGTAACCTATGCTTGTCGTAAAAGGCGACGAACAGGATCGGGTGTTCAGGCTCGCTGAATTGCGTGACACATGTCATCGTATACCAATTGTGTAGATCGATCCTCATGCTGTTGATCACTGGATTGTCTGGTCCAGATTCAATTATTTACAGACTGCCGCCATGCAGCTGGAATATTGCTGAGTAAAACCAAACTCACTCACTCACATTATTTTCCCTACTGCCTAGCCCTCCCTGCAATGCTAAAGCCCTAAATGAAGCAAGTCTAGCTTTCCCCAGGTTCAGGTCTACATCTCCCGTCTCCATGGGGCGCCTTTTCAATTTAAAAGGAATGGTTTGAATCAATCAAAATTATATATATTCAACATTAAGCGTTGGTCTAGAATACTCGCAGTTGCGTGGGAAAGTTGTCATGCGCTCATGGACTAAATGAGTTCTTGTGTGTGCACGTGCCCGGACTGGTGAGTTATAATTTGTTCTTATTTGTTTTCTATTTTTATTTTTATTTTACTATCAGTAAATTATAATTAATCGAAATAAACCAATAAACGTTACTGTGAGAGGTTTATGTGTCAATGTGTCGGACTACAGGGCAGATGTTTGGTCACTCAAGCGCCTGAAACACAATGGTCACTCAAGTGGCGTGTGTCCGAAGTCTCATCTCCACAAAATCAGATAAACCCAACAATGGGTTAATAATGACTCTCTGTGTAAATACAACGCCCCGTGAACCCTTTGAAATGACTAGCACCGCTGCAGAGATGCGTGACCGCATTGACGGTATTATACCAAAGTAATTGTTAGACGGGTGCCCAGTCCAGTGTGATGCCAGC